TAGCAAGTCATATACAGAGAAGGGAACATTACCATAGAGTGACATAAAAAAAAACCTGAATTCAGAAGGCATTATCAGTACCAACAGGTATATACTTTAGGGATGAATGGAACTGTGTAATTATTTTTAAGACACATATATGACAACTACAGTAACAGAGTTTTCAGGTTGCATTTTTATGGTATTCTGAATTTATTGTCTCTAGTTCATTTCCAATCTGTCTGTAGCCTTGTGTTCACAAGAAGTTGTAGATGGATTACAACCATGCAAACACTGTGTCCCTTCACTGGGGGAAATGTTTGGATATGGAGGGCTCCCTTGGGAAATTATAACTATATTTTTAACAGTTCTGATATACTTCCTGAGGCATCTGCACTGGTCACTCATACAGCAATAAAGACTTTTGTCCAATCCACTGAGTCAGCTGGGCTTTTGATCTAATCCTACATTCTTAGGTACTTTGATAGTTAAAAACAGTCTGACACACATGATAAATTGTAGGACTAATAACTTGTTCACTTGATCACTGCACCAAAAAACTATGCAGGAAATTGTCTGGTCTGAGAATCTTTCCTTTTGGGAGCACTTTGTCTGTTAGCACAGATCAATACCCAGTTCTGAACAAGCCAATAGATTGTGCTGAATAAATTCTGGCTGGCCTAACCTTGGGGTGGAGAAGGGGTTAATAGGAGTGAGTGTCTGGCATCAGGTCTAGGGTCTGGCATCATACACCTTGGCCAGAGCTGCTGAGGGTGAGTCAGTGTAACTGACAATCCCCTTAGAAGCTGACATGTCTTTTAAGAGCATGATGTGTCTTCAGAATATTAATAACCAGCCTAATACTCTGGCAATGATACTCTCATTTGAACTGAAGACATATGGATAAGGTGCTTTGCCAAAAAGTTTATTTGTCTTTTACAAAATTTCTTGTGACCTTTAACAGAAATTTCTAGTCTGTGTTGACTTTTGTCATAATTTATTATTTTAAAATCACATTTTTCTAAGAAAGAAGTCAAAACCATATTTTTCTGTCTCACATATACACTAACTCACAGAAAACTGGAGATCCATCTCTACCTGAAGGAATTGTTTCTTTTGATTGTAGGTAAGAATAATCTTATGCCAATAATAAAATTTTCAATAACACAGAGATGGATAACTGTCACAATGGTGCTTTATTTCTTTCTCTGCTTTTTAATTGAATAGTATTAATAGAAATTAAAATTATTTACAGTTTAATAAAGACTTTTCAGGCATGGTTTTCAATATTGAAGTGTTTGTACTTCTTTACTATTTACACATCTTTATTTCCAATTTTGTGTTTTCTCAACTCTTTTCCAAACTCACAAATGAGGCCAGTAGTGTCCACAAAAAACCAAACAAACAAACAGAACCCCCCCCCACTTTTCCTATTTTTTAGCAGTAATTTCTAGCACAAACATGCAAGCATACAGCTCTCAAGTAATAGAATGTGTCTCTAAAGGTGAAACTAACCCTGCAAAAATGAACAAGATTATCACTCATAACTATTATAGAAAAATATTGAAGCTAAAAGCAAATTAAGCCTGAAAGAAAGAATTAAACTTCTTTGTCATTTGTGAAAATGCTCAGTAGTTTTTGGATGTTGAGAATATGCATTGTCAAAGACTGCAAAGTCTCCTCCAGAATAATCTTTCACTATGTCCACTGAAGAATACTGCTTTGCCAGACAATATTAAATGTTCATTCTTTTCAAATTATTGAAGATAAATATTAGTGATAAGACTTGGACTGGCAAAAATAATTGCAATAAAAAAAAAAGGTGTTTGAGAGATATTTTCATATCTTCAAAGGATTCTGAAACTGATATTAATCCCATTGCCTGTGAAAGTCCATTGTCATTACTTGTACTTCTATTATCTTTGCTTTTAATTTACATCTCTAGGAAAGTGATCATTGCTCTCTTTGGGATCATAATTATGATTAGACTTTTCCTCTTTCATGGTTAGACAATGTCTTTGTCACTCCTCTTGAATTTTTTTCCAATATACAATTGTATTTTGATATCAGCAATCTTATTTTTCAATTACTATATTCCAATATAAAGTAAATTTTATGCAAACATTTTAGCATTCAAAAAAGATGCTAGAGTGAAGGCTTGTCCATTCAGTAAAAACAGACATGGAGATTTTAAAAAAAGTCTCATTCTTTTCATGAATACCACAATAACTGTGAGTTTGATCCAATACAAATGCTTAAATATCAGGCACAGCGACCACAGTGCACATTTCCAGAGTGAAATTTGAGAGAGATTTTCCATAAAAATATGAAAAAAAAAAAAATTGTTCATATTCTGGAGACAGCAGTAGTGTACTGCACAGTCTCACTTGTATTTTTTTTCTTGTTTAGAATGTTCAAATGCCAGTGTCACCTAAAGAAGGATTCTTCATAAAGCTACAGAAAAAATTACTGCTCAGACTAGAAGGGATTTTGGTGCAGAAATGGCCCTTTACAAGTAGGCGAAGAAAACTCCATAACCAAAAAATTTGGTTCTAAATTCATGAATAAAACTAATGTTTTGACACTCAAAAATCCCCAGATCTATTTGTATAGATGGTCCTCTTTTGGGTCCAGCCCTAATAGCAGCAACATGGAAAAATCACTGATTCTGCGTCTTAATTTTTTGTTTGGTTTTGTTTTAGAAAGCTTTTCTTCCACAAGTCTTATGGGCCATGTAAATGACAGCACAAATTAGTTGAGAAAAGCTGCTTGGATAGATGTGCACCTTGTGCTCAGGGGAACAGATTGTGATGTTTGTGAGCGCTACCTGCAGGAGCTCACCTGAGCCCCCAGCTCACCTCCCGGGGCTCTGCCTTCTGTGCTCACGAGCCTCAGGTCTAGGAGAGAATTTCATGTGCCTAAGCAGAAAAGCTGTTCACTAAACTACACCACAGAGCACTCAGAAAACTTCTGATAAGCCTCAGACTCTGGCAATTAAGCTCCTTGATGTTTATACAGTTTTAGAAGCCTGCAGAGAGTCAGGAAGGACTCTGAGGGGCCGAGAGGCGCCAGTCGCTGAGGAGACACATGCAGTACTCTGCACTGGCATTTCCAAGGGACTCGTGGCTTCAGGCCACATATGTTGTATTTCTGTAGCTCAGTAAAAGAGGTGACAAAATCAAGTATAAACCAGGCCAGATCCTGACTGCCAGGATGAAATGGAGACCTCCAGTCGCTTGGAGATGGTAAGTTATTTGAGGATGTTGCTATGTGAAGGCTTATGGCATTACTTATGACAGAAAGGGGCACTGTCTTCAGCAGGCACAGTCAAGAGAAAGTGTTTTTCAGGGAGACAAGGATGAGAATGCTTATACTCTAAAAGACAGAGGGAGAAGCTTGAGCACACATCCAGGAAGTGGAAAAGCCCACTTTAAATTTGTTTTACTGTTCTGGAAGGTGAAGCATGTTTGAATTTGGGCCTTTTCACAGTTGTGTGGCTGCATAATTCTGCAAGGTACCAGATCTGGAGAAATCACGAGGTTCTTGTCCATTTCCTTTATACCAAAGATAGAAGAACACTCTCAGGATTTATGTCCAGAGCCAGGATAGTGAGGAAAACATTCCCAACAGGCAGTTAGATACTCAGCTCCTTGGATGGAGCAATATTAGGTCCAAAAAACTATACAGTAACTTCCAATTGCTTATACTTTAGCCTTGATATTGTTTACATGGCTTCTCTGAATTCTGTTTCTACATCTTTCTGTCCCAATGCAAAGGGTAAAGTCTATGTCACTGATTTCCAGAGAAGAAGGGATTGCAATGTGGAGTGTGGTGTTTTTATGGATTATGCCCTCCTAGCCATGCAGTAACAGCACTTTCAGCCTGGGCCCTATACCTGCCTGTGGTGAGAAGACAAATCCCACCCATGTACATCCTTGCCAACAATGTGCTACAGCTTCAGACTCTGTGCACCTCCTATAAAATTAAAAATGTACCTGTCTCTATGGGAAAAGAGACAGAAGTAAAGTTTTTACAGTTCTTACAGACGAAGTAAAGAGAGGGAATCTTTTCCTACACTGTCTGTAACTTTTCCTAACATGAGGAGTCATCAATGGAAAGATAACTGCTTTTGGTCTTCAAGCCTATTAATTTCTTGGATTACAGATTGAGACTGACAGATTATTTCATTAAATATAAGCCTGATCCCATTCTATTTAACTTCAGAGAAAACTGGATAGTAGTCTCAGAAGCAACTGGGTGATAGATTCTTCAATATAGGCATTTACCCCTTGAGAAGTTGATGGATGCCAAATTCAGTTCATATAAGGCTGCTTACTTTTCTTGAGCTTTGCTCAATATGGAGAAAAAATATGCCCTAGTTTTGAAAAGATTTACATTCTATCATCAGTAATTCCAGCCTTCTAATACATTTGCATTTTGATTTAATAGAAGTTGAATATAAGTTTTATGTTTCAACAAAATAATTTCAATATCCATAAAGATTATAATATAAATCCTACTTCCTTCACTTGTCTGCTTTAAAAATTCAATGATAGCTAAGTAATTTTTTCAAAAGATTAGGATGCAGTCCTTTCTTTAGGGGCCTGTGTTGGCTTCAAGTAAAATGCTTGACAGTACTTCATCATTATTTCTCACTAAATATACTTTCCATATTATTATTTCTGAACTTTATTTCTATACAGACATGCATATAACTCCTTTGCATTATCAGATGTCCCACAAGCATGACAAGTATAAAAATGACATTTCTGTAATTCTATTTTTATATTCTTTTTTTCAGATTTTCTGTAATAATTATATAACAACGAATAATGAAATAGTAAAGAATCCTTACAAATTCTTACAACAAACAGCTCAGTAAATATTATTTGTGGTTTGCATTTAAGGGGTTTGCTAGAGCACAACTGAAAAAGTTAGTAGACTGACAATGGAACTAGTGTCAGAATTTATATCACAGATATACAGTTAATTCTTAAATTATTATTAAGCAACTGACCGACCTTTTTTCAGGGAAGGTTCCACTTCACCTAAACCAAGAGAAAAAAACAGGTATCAGAGAAAGGATTAAAAAAACTCAAACCAACAAAACCCAACCCAACCCAACCCAAACCAAACCAAACCAAAACCAACAAAAAACCCAAAATTAAAACCAAAACTAAAACCAAAACAACTCACAAAACAAAACAAAACAAAACAAAACAAAACAAAACAAAACAAAACAAAAACTAAAAAACATCACATTTTTTCATTTTGGCTCATTTTATTTCAAAAATATTTCTTCTTCTTTATATGCTAAATGACAAGCATCTATTCTGAGATTCTGTATTATTCATTAAAAATCTAATTTGCCATAGAGTTTTGGGTAGATAAATTTAAGGTGCAGTAGTAACTAAGGAAATATCCAAATCTCTATTTGTGCTTCTGAATGTTAATTTGTGTTTACAGTTAAAAATTTCCTTTACTTTATGCTTGTTTCCACATTTTAAGGGAAGGCTCACTGGTTCTTTTTAAATTCCAAATAAAGTACGTATGAAATTTAACAAGATTGTAAATCTAGCAATGCTTCCAGTGAAACACAAGGCAAAAAATAATCCATTTCAGTCTAACTATAAGCACTTGATTGCTGCAATATGTTATTGCACTTCCATGTAAGACACAGAATTTGAAGGAGTGATCCTGGCCAGTGTGCAGCCTCAGCTGCACTGACTACAGCACAGAGTGGGCAGGGTGCTCAAAGCACTTAATTTTTATGATATAGTGCAGTAAGATGCCTTACTGCCTATTCACACTCCTGGTTGATGATGAAATTCCACTTGGGCAAAACACTGCCAGAGCTAATGTTTCCAAATCTAGTGAACATCAGGTCTTGAATTTTTGACTGTCAAGTATTTTATGACTTTTCCTGCTGCCATTAGCACTTAGACAGTTGAGTGTTTGAAAGTTTGCACATGCTTTGGGAGTTATGAGATGCTAAAAATGCATGCTGATAAGATTTTACCAGGCTCTTTATTTTTTATCTTTTCTGTTTGTCAACCTTAAGAGAGACTAGCTTTCTGCTAGTTATAAATCGTATCTCAGAATAGGATGCCCAATTCACAGACTCGCATGTAGCAGCCTATCTATTAGCATTCATATACAATGCTAATATAAAAAGATCATGCACTTATTTAAAAGTTAACACTGGGTAATATCTCAGGCTTCTGAACAAATGGGTAGAAGTCAGTTTCAGTACACATCACTTTTTAATTATATTCTGGTGTAGCCAAATGGAATATAAAATAAACTACCATGAAATGAAGATGTCACTCCTAAACTTATCACTTGTCAGAATGACCAATATGATGTGACGTGATGATCCACTGCTGTGCCCACACAGGGGAACTATTTTTTTGTTTGTTTTGTTTTGGTTTTTTGTTTTTTATTAACAGAAGGAGAGTTATTTCCAAAATCAAAATATTAGTAAGTTACTTTCATTTATCTGGTTATGTCAGATGAAGAATTGTACCATAATGGCAAAATAATTTCTAGTAAACTGAATAATGTGCAATATGATGTCCAAAATCATGTAAGTTCAGTTGAAATGTTATATTTTTTAAATTTCAATGTATTGCCCCATTATCAATATGTCAAATTGAAAAAGTTCTAAATTTCTTGATGTATCTTGTATATTTTCCAGGGTTCTTTAGATTCTTGCTGATTAAAAGATGTAGCCATTTCCATTCTCCGAAGCAATATTCTGATGCATATTTTGGTTGTGGCTTTGAAGTCGTATACAAATTAATGTTCTTTTCTTCAAGATATACCCATGATAATCTTTAATTCTGACAGCTTTTCTGTAATAGTACATTAAACATGAGATGGAAGCTAATAAAGAGACCAATTTATTCATTGGAATAGCCAGTGGATGCTTTATTAGCAACAATGTTCACTTTTCCTTTTTGTTTGACCTTCTTGTCTGTGATGTTAAAAGCCGAGTAAGCCATTTTAATGCTTGTGAAACAGCAGTTAGAGGAGTTACAGAAGTCTTTACATTACAAATACCTTCATCATTGTCATCATCATCACTCCATACGATGTCAGACAGTAAAGAAAAAAAGCCATAAATCCAATCAGAAGACTCTTCCAGTGTCTCATGAATGATTCTCAGTGGTTCTGTGCTGAGCTTGTGAACAGATCTTCCTGAGTGCAGAGTTTAAAACAAAAGCGATTTGAAAAAAGAACCCAAACCAAACAACCTCTTCAGTAATAAAAGTACATCTTCATTTTATACAGAACTAATTATACTACTTCTTTTAGCAGAAAAAAAGGATTGTGAATGTTAATTTTTATTACTCAAGCATTTGAGGACAGCTCTCCTTCCTGTGGAAGGCTGGTATATAGTGTCTTACTGCACTTGCTGTTCACAGAGTGATTAAGGACTTAGTGTACAATTTGGTTTGATGTTGTACTCCAAGTTCTGGCTCTCCTTCTGGGGCTTGACTGGGCAAAATATAAATACAGATTTCATTCTAATATTCTTCATTTTAGGTAATCACTTCATTTCAGTTTTTAATCTGACTCAGACCCCCTGCCTCTTGATGCCCATCTAGGATTCAGTCCCACTCGTGTCATATCTCCTCACTGAGCTCCTTCCTTCAAACAAGTCCTGTCTGAAGAAATTGCTGAGCCTCAGGTTAGCTGCTCAGACAGGTCACGTCATTGTCATGGACCACACATACAGGATGGGAAGAAGAAAGTTGTGCATACTCAGGCCAAAATTAACCTAAGTTCAGAACAAACAGGGATACAAATCCAGATAGTGGGATAGAGATAATTTCTTTCAATCACATACTCCTGTGATTCTGGTTCTTCTCTCATGACTTTTCTAGAATTTCTTTCACATAACGTGTGCACGTGTGCATACTTATTCTGGTCTCACTGCCTCTTTAGACAAGCAAATTGTGAATCAAGAAAGCTGTGCAGTTTCATGTCCTCCACCTTCCTGGAACCTCTGATGGAAGTGAGACTTCTGCTCCCCACTTTATCCACACCCAGGCAGTGCAGCCATCAGTGGGTTATACCAGTCCTCCCTTAAAGGCTTTTCCAATTGGGATTTCACCAGATTTCTCTGTACCTGACACACTACTTCAGAGAGACTTTCCCATCTCTGACAGGCTTCTTCTTCTGACCATTCTGTGCAGCAATTTTCTACTTTCTTGAACTTTGTACCAAACATTGCTTAGGAAGAGGGAAAACCCTCCTTCAGTCTATGATACTGCCCACTGTACTTGCAACTGCAGACTGAGTCATTGCCTGGCCTGTGCAAAGCTTTCCCACAAATACAAACTACTGAACGTGGACTACAAATGTGATTTGGACTTTTGGCCTAGTGTTGCCCTTAGAAGTTTTGATAGAAATATGTATCCTGGATTTAACATTATCAAGATGGAAACCATACCTCTGTTGTTTTTCTGTAAGTAAATATCTTAGTAGGAAGCTAAAGACAAGTCTCTTCAGAACTACTTCTGATTGCAGTGTTCTGACTCACAAGCCAAATCTCAGCATTAATCAGATGCAGTCTCACATGGACTTACAGGCTAGAAATCATGCAAGGTGCAGGCTTAAAGTAACTTTTTCTGTGACAGCAGTATGAACAGTTATTTTCTTAGTGTTGTAACAAAACTTAGATGTAGCTTTATTTGAAATATAAATGTATCACTATGCATCTTCATTTTATTTATAATTAATTATTCTGAAACACGAGAGACCAGGCTTTCTATTGGTTTGCATCTGCTTGTTGATAATGCAGACCAAAGAAGTATTGTAGTTAATATTTTGTGAATATTGTATTATATAGGTATGTGCTGCTGAACAATCAGATGCATCAAATAAATTAAAATTGTGACATGATGCAATGACAGAGTTGTAAAGAAATTAATTTAGTGCACTACTATGCTCACTATTTTATTTATAAAGATTGAGTAGTAAACCAGCAAATATTTACTTTGCTTAGCATGACACTTCTTTGCATTGTCTTCATGCATTGAGATGTAGAAATTAAGTTTTTTCAAGTGATTTGCCACAAATTGTCTTCTCAAGTGTTAACCAGAAGAAGGAATACCTATACTTAGGCTCTTAAAAAGTAAATTTGTGATCTGACCCCTGATGCCATTTACACTTTATTCTAATCTAGAGGTGCTAAGGAGTCAAAGTGGACTAAGAACAGATATGGCCAGAGGTGTCTTAGCATAATCAAAATTTTGATTCACAAGCAGGGATGGTTTAACTTTGGAGAGCTGCCTTTATTTTCAGTGTGGCTATCCACCCTCCTTTTACCCACTGGTTGGTTAGGGAGGGCTCAGTTGCTTTTACAGCCACAGGTTTTTACAGCTGCAAGGACTACAGCTATAAACTAACAAGAATTGGTGTCAATTTATTTTAATATACTGGTCTATCAACTAGCAGTTCAAGAACTGCTTCTGCTTCACAGGTAGCAGAGCTGTCCCCCCTGGGCAGGCAAGGGAAATGCTCAGAGAAGTGCAAGATCAAGAGCAGAGGAAATTATTCCAACCACCCCAAGGCAAGCCATCTTTGCTGATGAATCAGTCTTCAACATCATATCCTGGTCTTTAATTCATAGCATCTTCATATCACACTATGAAAAGGGATTAGAAATTATAAGTGTCCAGAGGCAAAATTGTATGTCCAGTCATGCCTATGCTAACAGGCACAAGTTGCAAATCCTTTTTAACATAGAAAGTTTAGAAAAATCAGTTTGGAGCTGCGTAGAGGACACTTTATTGGTATTTGCAAAATGAAATTTTGTATTCAAAAAATACTGTAAGCTCAATTGAGGTCTGATGCAAGTGGCACAAACCTGGAAAATTATGTCCTCTTGCACAGATCTGTTTGACTTGTGTTGTATTTCCAACATTTTTAAGAGTAGTGCTAATAGTAATGATGTGTTCTAGAATTCTTAAGAAAACCACACCAAGTAGTGCTGAAGCGAAAATTAAGACTGATTAAATCCATACTTTTAATATTCCCAACAACTTTGACAACACCAGGTGCTACAAGCTCTCTAGTAGAATGAAATACAAAGGAAATGAAACAATTCTTGTGTTAGCAAGTACAGAGAAAGATTCAATTTACCTCACACACATGCAAATAGAGACAACCATTTCCAGAAGATTTATATACTCAAGAGCGAAGCTGAAAGAATGCTGATTTTCATAACAAAGTTTGAGCTTCATATTTTTTTAATTTAGAGATGTCCAGCAATTGAAAGCATGATGAGATTTTTTACAATCATCTTGTAGTCAACATATTTGTCCGGATTAGCAGTCTTCTACCCAACTTCTCATTTCTTAGCAAATCTTAGGAGACTAATTATTTTAAAAATAAGCTCACAATAGATTTCCTTTGCTAACATATGGAGTGTAATATAGAATTTGTAACTAATGTACAGCTATTATTAATATTTTATAGATTAATATAATTGATCCAAACTGCAATTATTACATCATATACCACATAAAATTCATTGCTTTGGAAGAAGAGGGGGCAGGATTTTGCACTTAAAAGAGGTTATTTGTCAGAATATTTCTCAAATATATACAGAATTGTGAATTTTAAGCTTTTGTTTAACTTTTAAATAGGAATTGAGCTAATTTTTTAGTCTTAGATAAAATAGTAAACAACTAATAAATGCCTGTTGAAGGAGGGGAAAGGAAGTAAATGATTTCTGAGGAGGTAAAGTTCAGACATGAAACATACAATTAATGTTGAAGAATTTAGTTGACACAATGTAATTACCTTTAATCACAGTTTAAAAACAGATTATCCTTTTAGCGAAATATACCTGGAAGGATACTTAATCCCTGGTGTTCCTAAACTCCCTCAAAAGCCAGAAAGACATTGTGACCTTCAGAAGACAAGTGTCGCTCTTCCCTCTGAAATCTGTTTTAGGGTTACATGAATTAATTTCCAAGGATACCCACTCCTTTCCATTGACTATAAAGGAAGTCTGAAAATTAGCATGGACATGTCACCTTAATTTCCTATTACTGAGGTATATGACATGGACCCTGCTAGTGATGCTGTTTCAGAATTAAATCCTTCTTGTTATTGTGCACTTCGGCTAAGCACTTAGATTTGTAACTTTACATTCATAATTAATGCCAGGTCTATACAAATATTCCCCTTGATAAATTATTTACGTTCCAGAACAGCACCAATTCCACAAAATGCATTGCCAGAACGTTTTGTTTGTCAAAGTCTTTTATTACTTGGTATAGTATAAGAGATGTTTTTCAGATCAGGAAAATTTCTTCTTTCTTGTGCTGGCATGTTCACTCCTGTGAGCATAGTAACAGTTTTGTTGTTTCATTTTCAGAGGAACAATCAGAATTCCAGAACCTTCTGGAAAATTATGACATTTAGAAGAATTAAAGCTGACAGAGGAGGAATTTCAATCAAATGGAAGGAATTTGTATACTACCTTTCAAAGAAATCTTATTCTAGGACAACTCAATTGAATTTGATTGGAGAATGTTTGTTAGCTTTTGGAGATATCTGGAAGATTATTTGGATTTTCTGTACTAAACATATGCAAATATATTTAAAATAATTAATTAAGAAATAGTTTCATATGTGTTATTGGTATTAAATACTTCTAGAAAAGTCCCTGCTTAATTTGAAGCAGCACATCAAGGGCTATGATTCTTTGTGGCTCTCAGCATTACTGGTACAGAAAGAGTAGTTTGATTAAAAATGTCAGAACAGTCCTGAACAATTAATTTCTTAATTTATGAAGTCTCTCTGGCTCACAATCTTAATTCCAAATGATTTTAAAATCACTTTTTTTATCTTCATGGTATTTAATAGTCACACTTAACACAACTCCTTGAAACCAGGCAATAACAAAGATCTCAAGTCCTGCCATTGGCATTAGGCATATTCTTGGTAACAAGAAGATAGAAGGTAATTTTCATGAAGTGACTAAGTATTTTTGAACAGAAAACCCCTTTTTTTCACCAGGACTGATAATACATTAAAAGTGATGTTTGGATACAAGAATTGAGTAATCACATGGTATGATTTGCTATAGCCACTCAAGAAAATTTGGTTATGTTTAATAGTCTGTATTATTTTTTCCTGCAAAGTGCATAACAAAAAGTGACTAATTGATTATCTGTGCAAATCACTTCAGTCATTATTCTCATCTTAGTAACTCTGTCAGAAATGTAGTTTCCTATCAATCTTTTTTGCTTGTCAAATGGATAAATGTATACTCACTCGAGTTCAACCTCTGTTAAGGTGGCCTTTTTTTTTTTTTTAATGAATCACAGAAAATTAGTTAATAATTGTTGGATTTTCATCAATTAGATATTTTGACTCCAGTGAATTGAATGCAATTAAGTTACAAATGATAGTAATTATCTGGTGCAAGGATTGATCTATGAGATATAAACTACTTCATTGACATTGACGAGGTACAGCTGATGAAGACAGAGAATTTCTGTTGTGTTTGATACAATACAAAAGCTTAACACTAGCTTGTGGTAATAAAACTTATTCTATTAGTAGTAAAATATTCTACTATAAATATAGAGACCTATATTTTAATTTCAAAGTTTATATATTTGTAAGTTTCTTTTTTTATACTCTTTGATCTTTTGAAAAGTAGCATCTAAGACACTAAACTCAATATACATATAGTCTCCTATTAGTACCATTCCAGTTTATCAACATAACTGTCCTTAGGTCTTACACTTTTGTTTCATAGACTAGCATTTTTGTCAAGCTTATAGCTCTAAGCCATAAACAGGTAAACCTCTGGTTGCTACCACTCAATTATTAGTATAAAAATACTAATTGAATTTTTAATTATATTACATATAAAAACTGACAAAAAAGTGCAGAGTCAGCTTTCTCAGTAATGTCCATTTAATAAGTACATATATGGTAAATATTAACAGCCTGTGGCTGTCTCTTTCTAATATCAACCCTAGATAATTATATTGAGGTCAAGTTCATAGGGAAAGCCTCATCTGAAAGTGAACAAAGAAGCAGTTATAACTAGAATTTACTTGCCAATATTTAGAAAGAAATTCACAAACTGTCACAAAGTAATTTCAGGTCCATTTGATATAGCCCTACATGTGGATAGGAGTGTATGTATAGGGTGGGCTTTAAGTGTAGTTTATATGACTGGATTTGATATCAGCTGGAAGGTTTTGATTTGATAGTTCAGATTTTCATTAAGTGGTGTTTTCTGAAACACATTTTATCTAAAATATTTTGAAGTTTTTTTTTCTTATTCTATGGGTTCAGTTCTCTGACTAGGAACACAGATCTTCAGATCTGTAAGGGCATCTGTAATGCCCTTTAAACGGCATTAAAAGTGTAAAATTAGTACCTCAGCTTGACACTATTTCCTGGGACTCTCCTGGCTAGGGGCATCTCTTAGCTGTCAGAACTACTTCAAGCATGACGAGAAAATGAGGAATGTGCTGTTGTAAGCCCCAGCCAGGCAGAGTTGGGGTTAGCTGAGAAGCAGTGCTGGCCTCTGCTCATTCCCATGCTTTGTTATCATCCACACACATATTCAGAACACTGCAGGCAGAAGGTCTTTACCAGGAGGGAAACAGGGATCATCGCAGTGCTGTGAATAGGTGGCTATACCTGATGGCAACAGCATGAACCCCAGAAAGGTCAATAAAAAAAAACAAAGAAACACCATTAGCAATAATGAATGTTCTCAGCTGTCTCTTGGCTAAAGGAAACACTTAAGGAGTGAAGTGAGGAGTTGTTTATAATCTCTATGGGGCTCCTGTTATGTGCCAGAAAATGGAGTTTATTAAAAAGAGAAACGGTATGCTGTAGATGTGAGATAATACAGTGTGAATCACAGCAAGGTAAAAATGTGGTCAAACAATGCCCAGTATTTTCACAAGTCACAAACAAATTCTATTGCTGAAAAAATATATTACATATAGGTGATTCTAGCTGAGACTTCAATTTCTTCAACAGAAAATAACCAAAGAATTGCATCATTGCAATTGTTACTGGAATGGATTACTGGTTTGATTTGTTTGTTATAAATTAGAAATTTCACAGATACCATTATGCACTGCAAATTTGCTTTGCATTTTGTGTCCCATGAATCATATTTAAGCATGAATTCTCCTATTAGATTCTTCCCTATACATTGAGACAGTTTCTGGAATTCATATTTTCAACTGCATAACCTTGCAAAGTTTGATCTATCAAAATTTATTATCTTTAATACAGTGGACCTTTTGGGATGAATGCAGCATGTGAATACTGCAATAGTTCATAGACTGCCATTCTTTTCAGTATAAACTCATTTTCTAGGAATTTATAACTCAGCTATGAAATCTGCTGCAGACTGAAACATAAGAAACCAGGTGTCATCTGAGCAGCCCTTCTTTAAACAGGAATTTGGCTTAAATCCCTTTAAAGGATTTTTTCACAAAAGAGAGAAAAAATGTTTTGTAGGTTTTAGGTACATTAATTGAAGTCTTATATAATTAAATTAAGAACTTCATTAATAACTTTGAAAGAAATAAGCTATTCAATCATGCTTTGAATTGACATTTGTAAATATGATATAAAATATATTTCAGAAGACTTTAGCACTGTTTTGATAAATTTCAGAGTAGAAGGATTGTCTAAGGCTTTGCATGTTTGAAAAAGAGAAAAAAATTATATTAAGTTCCATTAAGTTTGCTGGTTGTTTAAACTAATCCAGAAGTTCATTCTTTTTCCTGACTAAATGCAAATATATTTTCAGTTTAAAAACTGGTGTATATATAATCAAAAAAAACAAAAGCAAAAATAGGTACACCCTTCTTTTTGCAGTTCTTAAAATTTTCCAATGAACATTAGCCCAACAGGGTGACTGCAGTACGATGATATTGCAGAAGAAAAATGTATGTGCATATTCCTTATAATTATTATATACTCCCCAAGGCCAGACAAAATCCATCTATGACTACAAGGCAATAATAAAAATGACCACAGGTTCAGCAAGGAAATTATGACTTCAGACTGTGTTATTCAGAAGCTAGTATGGGAAGCACCACATTTGGCCAGATTTTTTTGCATTAACTTAAAAATATTAGAGATATATAATTTAAAAAAGCATCTGACTGGATGGGAGCTCCATGCACTGTTAAGTCCCCATTCCTAAAGGCATTACTTCCACAAGGGTCTGCCTTTGCTATAGGTCTCTAAAAAGCCTCTTTATTTGAGCAAAACAAATTAGGCCCAACAAAGAGCGTACCCATGGGATTTTTTACTTATTAAAACAACATAGTAAGCTCTTTCTACTAAGTCTGTCTGTGTGTGTTTTCTTTATTTTCACCTATATTATTTTGTAGGTAATTTTGGGTTTCATAGATTTGGTGAGGCTTCATTAAGTTTGATTTAGTCTGGCCTTTAGGTGACTGGCTAAATCACTGTCAATTTACTCTGAATATTGAACACTCTGGATCTGAAATTAGGGGGATGTTAATTAGCTGTAATTGGTCACAGAGATGGCAGGGAATTTTGAATGCTCTATTAGCCCATTAGCAAATATAGATTCCTGGGCAATAAAGGACTAAAATAATCTTAAATTATTGAGTTGCATTTACCAATTAAAATGTATAATCCGTTTATGTGTACAAGAAATGTATGAAATACATTAATGAATTATGAAGCCTGATAAAAAGGTGTGCTCTCTAACACAAGGGATGGAAGTAATGAACTGTTGCAAAGCACACATAAAACCAAAATTAACTTTTTTCATTTCTGAAAATATATGAGCTTTTTCAATGTGATATACTACTTATTCCATATTCATACACAGTGTGTACTGCATGAGATTTGTAGTTTCTTCACTGAAGCTTTTGTAAATGCATGTCACCTTCATACCATTTTTGAAATACTTCAGTCTTGTTCATAGTTTTTCATAGCTGTACAGTACAGCATGATAGGAATGCAAGCTTTCATTTGATTTCTCAAAGGATTGAGCATAATGCACTAAAGTACAACATTGCAAAATTTAATTTCCTTCTTCTGGGTAGATAGAACAGGTGTGAAACTTTCAGTACAGATCCAATTCTTGTCTCAAAATCAACTGCTAAAGCTAAAGAAAATTTGTAGATTCTATCCCTGTCCTAACTTCTAAACAGACACATAACCACCCAGGAAGCAAAACTTTACACATGCTTTACACCCTGTTATATTTTATGTCATGACCAGCACCTCCTGAATAATACAGAGTGCTACAGAATTTACAGCCATCATGTTCTGGATATGTAAAATTACAAAAAACTGTCTTAAATCTTGCTGTGAGCAGAGCTTGAATTAATGTAATCTAAATTCACTTACCTAAACTCTAAGTGTTAAGCTCCCTCATCCTCCCACAGTTCTATAAGCTACTTTACAAATGCTGAATAAAGAGGGCCAGCAAAAAGTAATTTACCACATCTACTTTAGGATGAAATTAAACATCTCTTTTTCATATCATTCCAGGACAAATTTCATCCCATATAAATTGTCAAAAATTTCACAAACTTGATAGTTTACTTTTAAAAGGATATGAAACCATAGCAATCAAGAAGCAAAATCTAAGGGTTGGCACTCTAATCACCAAGGGTAGTGTGAAGTCCATACTGATAAATTAAAAGAATATATAAGAGATAAAATACTTATACTGATAATTTATGTATTTTTTGAATTATTTACTTTTCAGGTAATGAGAGTGAAATTGTTAATTATTGAAGGAAAAGAAAGCTCAGGTTCAAGTTTAAAGTACTTCCTACTCAGCTCATGCGTAATGTTTTTACTGAGCTCCATGAATCTCTGTGTACTCTAGGCAACTCATAATCTAGGGCATTGCACTTCCTGTATTTTCCAGAGGTTAGCATCTCTGTAGTGCAATCAGAGGAAAAAATCCCTGTCTGCTCCTCAGCCACACAGTTCCCTGACTGGTTTACCAGATCAGCCTGCTCCGCTTTCTGCTGCACTCACTCCTGTGCAGCACAGTCGCTGCCACAGCTCTGCTATGGAGACGGCCACTTCTTGCACAGATCTTAGTGAGAGCCCCTGTGGGAGCCCCTAGATCAGAATCCTCTGTCAGCTCTTTAACTGCCCTTCAAAAATCTGCAGGCTGCTCCTCAGTCACCATCCTGTCTCCTCTAGGCTGAGTTCAGCTCTCTCAGCCTGCCTTGTTCATATGCTGTCCATACTTTCTGAACTTGAACGTCATGGAACTTCAGGCAGAGAAACAGGAAAGAGATTGAAAGCACTGGCTTAAGAAAGGCAAGTGTTCTTTGAGGAAAAATACACTATTTTTTCTGTGTTTTATGGAAAAAACACACAGTTGAGTATAATTTCTTTGGCATCTCTCATGTGCATTTGAAAACTTGAAAATTAATTTTAATGATGCTGGCAAAACTAAATTTACAGTCCCGATTTTAGCTTTTTGCTCTTTTTATGTAGGTCTGTTTTCTCAAAGAACAATATCAAACCCAAGACAAAAAAATACTGGATTTTAGATTTAAGGAACCACTTAGAATTTTGCCCCAAATTCTACTTTCTATATGAAAAGGAGATATTGCTTCCACTGTAGGTAAACTGTCCAAAAGTGAAAATCATTCTTGTATCAATAATGCCAGCTACATGATTCTCTGTACAATCTTCACCTATTTCCATGGTATTTTTACAAATCACTGGGTTTAGTGAAAAAAAAAACACAAAAAATCAGGAGTGGAAACCTATTGGTTAGGATAACAGCTATGTAACTATTCTTATATATATGTAAATACAGAAAACAGTCTTATAAATCCTCGTCTAAAGAAGTACAGCAGTTCCTTCTCTTAATGTTTGACTTTCAATATTTGAATGTTGGCTTAATTAATCACATAGGAACAGAAATATTGCTGGGAAGGTAAAGAAACTCATGAGCTCTAAATACTGAAGTATCTTTCAGAAACTTTCCAAAAATAAAAACTCACCCTGCAGATTAAATTTAACATTGTTTTATTTCTACATCCTGGTCTGAAAACAGCAGTTTCCATAAACACTTGTGAGATTTAAGCTCATTTAACCAATACAATGTGAACAGAATTCTGTCTGCTTAGAGAGTTTCCTTCAGACTCTGGCACAGATACAGATTCTAATTGCTTAGCATTAACCTGACTTGTTTATTGAGCATGTGTGACCTTATAGCAAGTTCAGAAATTTCTGAGTTTAAGAGAGTTTAGTCTGAGTTATGTCCTGGTTCTTGACTGTTCATTGAAAACCTATTAAGAACTTGATTAATTTGACTGATTGATTGACTGATTAACATTTAATATGGAAAACCGAAGTTGAATATAACAGTTTCTCTTAGCATGTCTCTCTGTTGTAGCATCAAGTGTTTTGTGCCCAAACTAAAATCTGATGCTTATTTTGGAAGGATGTCTCAAAAATAACTTTATGTTTTCCTGGTACTGCAGAGATGTCCTTCTGAAAACAATGACAGATGAGAAGAAAGTTTAAGAAAGTTTTGTGGTACATTTTCTCCACATTTCAAGATCTGTGATGTCTATTGATCCAGAATTTGTTGTTTTCTTTCAAGATCTATATGTGTTTCAAAAGCTTTCTAAGTAAATCTTGAAGTCGATATTGATATATAGCAGGACAAAAGAAAATCTATAAATTTATCAGTAAACTAATAAAGTCCAGGAAATTTACTCCAAAACGCCAGCTCAATTTCTTTTGAATTAAAGGTTGAAGTCCGAATTTCAATTCCTAGTTAATTGTTGTGACAGATGCGATAACTTTAGTGCTGGAGTTCTCATTTAAGGAAGAGAAGGGCCCTAATAGTTTTTTTTCCGGTTCACATACGTTTCCCAAGTATTAATAGCTGTTAGCCTCACAAAGGTTTTACTACCAAAGGCTCGCTGAACACTACGTACCCTTTACATACATAGGTAGTTAATTTATTTTCCATTATATATCACTGACAGATAAAAGGCATAAATACTCTATTTCTTTTTATTTGCCGCTCTTTTTTTTTATGTACCCCGATTAGAACCACATTCCTTGTAGTATGATCACAATCCTACTTCATTTTCACCTTTGTCCCCTGTAATCAATACAAACCATAAAGTTTGATCTTGTTCATTTATCTAGCCAAGTCTTAAAAGTAGCTTGATTATTGAAGACAAGGGTGTGTCTTAGCTAATATTAAGAATCTGGTCCTCTGTACTTACGGTTTTTGAAGATCAGTTTTAGGGTTAGCATGTTCTTTTACATTTTTCTGATCATTGAACTGTGTAAGCAAATATCAGAATACTCAAGGCAACTATTAAAGACTATATTTTTGAAAATATGAATTAATACTAATTTCATTTTTCTAGAAAAAAAAATTATATAGGGATTGGAAAACAGAAATCTGACCTTACATGCTTGTATATATTTTATGTTACTATCAACATTTTCATTTTCCAGGATGAGTATGGGCTGCAAAATGGAGAGACTTAAATTATAAAGGTGTCTGAGGTGTAAACAAATGTGTTCTGACATTTCTTATAATATCTTCTCTCTTGGTAAACTCAGCAGAGACACTGTACTGTCCCCAAGGAGGTGAGACATATTTCTGTAATAGATGCTTCTTAATAAATTTTTAAAGTTGAATATACAAGGTGTCAAACAGAATATGTTAAGTTTTACCTGCTAAGTCTTTGTAATCCACCAAGTCAAACATTACAATAGCTACTGCTGACCAGGTAACAATCAGAGCAACAACGAGAAGCCATGCTGCTGGTGAGCTGAATGTTGTTACGAGGTCTTCTGTCACTGATTTCTTCCCCACTTTCATGGATGATGAAGGAACAGATCCATTCTTACCATCTATTATCGTTGTGGTTGTAGACATGTGTCCTGTACAAGCAGACAAAGCAGAGGAAAACAGCGTAACAACTTGGAGACTTAAAGCCAGGAATAGGAATGTTGTTTTGAAATTGTTTTGTCATCAAAATTTTAAAAATAAATATAAATGTTGTATCGCTAAAAAAACGGTTCTTGGACTTTCTGGAACAAATAGTCACAACCAGCCTTTTTATTTTATGACATTTTTGAGTCTGCCACAAATAGCTACAGGCCTAGGAGAGTGATTGATGAAAGCATAAAATATTATTACCCTCCAAAGTATTGTCTTGTTATGGGCTGTAGGCCAGATTCTCAGGTGATGTGATTAAGTGAACTTCCATTGACTTTAATGGAGCTAATGCATCTATGCCACTTGAGGTTTGGCTGGAATTCTGCTGTGAAGGACATATCAGTAGCAATTGAAATATATATACTTCATTTAATCTAACAGAAACAAAAATGTTTTCCATGTCCAGGATCCTTAAAAGTTGTTAATAAGATTGTAGCTGACTTTTAAATACCTTTTTTTGTGGAATTTTCATTTAATGAAATAATCTCCTAAGAAACAAAAGCTACAATGCCAAAGTAGACTTGATTCCAGAAAGCATAGGTTTGGTAATAAAAAGGTGGTGGGAAGTTGAATGTTACTTAGCTAAGGGACCAGCTGACAGTAGTAATGAACAGTAACAGTAGTGACTTAACCTACTTCATCTGAGGTATTAAAAATGCTAATTCTGGACATAATGCTAATTAGGGACACAAACCAAAATTATGGTAACTGAAACCTAATCATATTTGAAAGCTCTCAACTTAATATTCTTCATAAAATACATTTTGATAACCTAAACACTCTAGGGAGGGAAACTTTTTCCATTATATACAATAACAATAGTAAAAGTATTCCGAATATGACAGTTCAAATTAGTAGAAGACCACAGTATCTTCACTTAGTTTACAATATCTTCTTGTATGTTACAGTTCAAATCTTCAAATATATACTACTGTGTTGTTGGTCTGGTTGTTGACATCATCTTGCATAAATTAATTTTAATGGTTTAAGAGACCCTTGCTCATACAGACATCTAAAATTTCAAGGAATCAGGTGACACATGGTTTGTGGAGATCTTTGCTTTTCGCTTGCTGTTTGCTTGTCACAATCCTATAAAAATGATATTTTATGTTTGAGAGTTGCTCTGTATGAAGGTAAGCAGATTCAATTTCACTTTTGACATAAAAAATGACAAATAGGCACTGAGAAATTTTTGTTGGAGCTGAGGTACAAGCTGTTGAAGACTTTCCAATATTTACTGTCACAACCTCTATTTAGACTCTTTTTGAGAACCACATTTATATTCTTAAAGAAATAAATGAAAAAAGGATGAAATCATTAATATTACCATATATACATACATTTTATCTTCCTATTTTGCCCAAACAAATCTTCTGATCCTTATGCTAATGAATACTGGTTTTGTTCCTTTCCTGTAGAATGTTAAAACATTATCCTCATATGATAGTGAAATGCTCCTTTATGCATTTGGCAAAAACATAAAATTGGGAAGGATAATTTTGGTGGAAGAAGTTCCATAATTCTTAACCTGTCATACCTGTTGAGTTTTCAAATTCACATCGTAATCTGTTCTAGAATTCTCTCTTTTCTTATTTTGCTATGCAGTGCATTGTATTAATGAGTAGTTGCCTTAGCTCTGCCTTTTAATTTTGCTTCTGCATAAGCATCTTAGAGTTCATCAGTGCCTTACTTACAGTCCTGAAAAACTGCTCTGCTACACAGCAGAATTGTAAAAGCAAAACAAGATTTGTATATTACATATTTTTGTTACTTATTTAAAATTTATTCTTATTTATAGAATATTTATTCTGCTAATAAATAATGTCTATCATCTAGATAGAATGTATACAATTAAAAAAATATTATAAAACCATCACTGCTTCCATTTCTCAAAAAAAAATTTAGATCAAACAACTCACAGCGGGAGGAAAAATCTGTCAAGTGACAACTAAGAATAAAGATCAGCTTCCTAAGTCAAACTCAAAATCAACAGCATTTTGTTATCCTACTGCATACGCAATGCAAGTAATTTGTGCATGTAACAGGTCATAAATGACACATTATGCATTGTTTCCCCTTGGGGATATCAGTCAGAGTTTATGATGTGTGAGAGAGAATAGAAAGGTACTGTCTCATCTTGACAAATCTGATTAGTGCCACAGCATGTCTTCAAGGACATCCTAGTGGCAGATATTTGCAGTTATAATACGGACAATTAAAACTCTATGTGTGTATACAGATATAGACTTATAATTACCAGTCAAAGGGTTGTTCCTCTAAGTTTGTTGCTATGTACCAATAGTTCCTTACTATTTAATATACCTAACTTTTCAAACTCAGACCACAATTTGTCTTTGGTGAAGAAAATAGTAACTGGTGATTTATCAATCAGAATAATGCTGCATAGACAGAGCTCAAGTATGCTAGAAGGATATCTATGACAAGTTTTTGGCTTTTGATGTAGTCCAGTCAGATTTCCCTTTAAAAACTCAGGATGTTATACAATAAAATTGCTGTTCTGGCATTCATTAAAGTGTGAATGAACAGCTATTGATTCAAATTTGACTGGAAGTCAAGCTAGGAAAATATTGTTATACTGCTGGAGGTTCCTGATACAGGGGCCTAAGAAAGATCTCCAGCATTGTTTTAAATGCTTTGCGTTATCCAAAACATCCTCACAGGACTGGCAAGCAAAATCTACTGGAACTGTCTGAAAAAAAAAAAAAAAACAGACAGGATGTCCTAAAGTAAATAGAAATTAGATTTTTATGTCCCTAGATACCTATATAAACAAAATTGACTGGAGGATTTTATTTGATGATTCCTGAGAAAGACATTGTTTGCTGTTACATAATCTCATGTAGGGTGGATTGTATATTGATACCATCATCATTTCATGACTCCAAAATGAAGAAGCAGTAACACTGAGATGATCTCCCTGTCTCCAAAAACATTTTGTCATTGTAGTACCCAAGGTGTTATCCTCATGCTTTTCTCTGTCTCTTTTTTGTTTTGGGCATTTAGGTGCGCTGTTCATTTCTGTCCACCTTCTACCGGTTCTAACTTTTTCTGCAAGCCTTCAGTGATAATATTTATGAAGCTAGACAACAGAGAGAAAGGGGATGTATATACAATGTTTTTATTAGTCCAGCCAGCAGTGATTCTCCTTTTTCGCAGAAAAGTGCCAAAGTTAGGCAGAACTCCTGATCAAGAGGTCAGTGAGGCTTCGGATGCCCAGTGGGGGACTGAGAAATATAGGCATTTTTGTTGCTTTGAAATCACCTGATGGAGCCTATTGAGTTCTACATTTAAAAGCAGGTTAAAATCAGATTGCTGAAATTTTCCAAAATCCTTGCCATCCATATAATAAACATTTTCTCTCTCAAGACAAATTTCTATGTCCCTATTACAGCCAGCCTGAATCCAAGTCAGTTTGTTTTCAATTAACATTGCAGTGGATCAGGAGATTCATGAGCAGATCAGTTGTCCCTGCTCTGGGAGAGGCAAATCCATCACAGGAGTGGAGGGTGCAGCTGAAGGCTGCTACAATTTCAGCCATCCAATTTTAATCCACCGCCACATGTCTGCTAGAGCCTCTTGGCACTTTGGGCTGTGATTGGTATTGATTTTCAATGAGGATGGGAACTTAAAAAAGTTATATATATATATTTCTATAAAAAGATTACTCCAGGGATATATACCTCTGACTGCACATCACAATTTTTCATGCACACAGGACTGCCTCACCAGGTCGCAAATGTCACCTTTACATCAACAGATTGATTTGCTAAATTCCAAACAGCTAAAACTCCGAGATTCTTACTATTCCTCTGGTTTCCGAGTTGTCACTTAGAATACAATCTGAAGACCCATAAGGTCTTGTAAGTAGAAACAAACCTTGACAATTGGTGACAACTTCAAGGAGAACACCATGTGACTTTCAGAATCCAGAGTGAGTTTGTAGTCCTGGCAGCTTAGGTAAAATACCCTTGGCATTTGCGGGCTGACGCATTATCTCCTTAAAACTTAATAAGCATAGGAGTCCATGGTTAAGGATGGAGACTTGAGTTCAATTGATACACCTTCTACTACTCTAGTAGAAAAATGAAACAAAACAAAACTAAACATCCAAAACGAATAAATAAACCAATTCTGTTCAGACTCATTCAGGTGAAAAGAGTAATTTTCTGTATTTATGTTACTTGATAACTATTTTATGCATAACAGTCTTATTCTGCCAACAAGACAAAAAATTAAGTAAAATATTTAATGACCAATGCCTTTTTAAGGCTGTGCATATTAAAAGCAGAGGGCTAGTCACAAAACTTAAAAAAAGAGGTTCACTATTAAATAGCTAAGGCAATGTAGTTGGGATGTGAGAAACCTCAGTGCAGTCTGTTCTAAATGAGAGAGCTGATACATTTTGATGTGTCTGTTGTACTCCCCAGATGAGCACTACAGTAAATAGGTTACAGAATACTCTGGATTGAGGTCATTAATGTCTTCTGTTTGACCTATTCCACTTCACTTGGAATATTTAAATACTAATTAAGGAAGCAGGAAAGAGAAAAAATGGCTGTATAAATTGACAGTCTATGTTAAGCACCAGCTCAAGCCCTGGGCTTTAAGTGACCTTATCAACCCAGAGCTGCTGGGATCATGTGGGCAGGAGTCTCAGTAAGTAGGTTCCTGCATGGAGAAGAGGACAAGGGCTTAGAACCCTTCAGTGAAGAAGTGGGAAATGGGTATAAGATAATCTAGTGCATTTTTTTCAAGCTCAGCACATTACAGTTAATGAGTCCACAGACCTGCAGGCATCACAATAATCACTCTTTCCCCACCTAAGGAAAATAATTTCTACCACAAGAAAGGATTACACCTACACCTGTTGTTCAGGTGTTACTTATGCCTGACTGTGACATCCTACTGCTTCAATATCTCT